CAAATAGGATGAAACTCAAACATGCCACAATTGGAAAGGGTTATATAAGATTTGGTGCAATGAACTATTATCCATTAACACCTAATTGCAAAGACCAGTAGCAATCTAGAAAATGCTTATGTATCCTTAGAAACATATAGATAAAAAATGAGTAGAAAGGGGTGAATTTTTCCTAAAATTTCTTTTAATTAAAGAAATTTAGATCAATTAAATTAAAATAATAATGTGAAAGGAAATCGAAACAGTCCAGGAAATAAACCCATTTTTCTCTGTAAGCCATTGTGCCTGCAGCTTAGAACTATAATTCTGGCTAGAACTATATTAACTATCGAGAAGAAAAGTCTTAGAATATATCATTATATAAATAAAAGTTGGGTCATCTTGGTTTTTATGTCTATTTGCCATTTTTAAAAGTATCCAGTTAATTTCAAACTGTGTGGCGGAATTTCATATCAGTTAATGAAAAGAATAACATTAATTAATGACATAATATTACTTTTTCACAAGTATTTTCTTGAACTTAATTTACCATTTTCTATGTTTCCTCTAACAGATATTTTGTACATTTAATTTTGCTTTTTCTAATGTTTTGGTCTAAATTTCACAGAACAATTTCTTAAGAAAATGGTAAATAATATTAACAGAACTGTCTTCAGGAATAGTTGTAGTAATTTCGACACAGCATGAAATGTCTCAAACACACACACACACACACACACATACACAAACTACGATTGATTTGAAAATTTAAAAATATATAATAAAAACCACTTATTTAATTATCCCTCTGGAGTTCCCCATTCAATTGCTCTCGGGTTTTGCGAGTCCATGAGGAAAATGAAAAGAATGACCATGAATAGAATAATTAAATTCTAGCCTCAAAGCTACACAAAGTGCAGAAGCCCAGCCTCATCAACATGAATAGAGAACGTTTATTTTCATTAATTCATTATTTTGATGCTTTTGGATGAAGAGCCTTCTGGAATGAATTCTTTTCTTCCCTGCCTTCGAAAGGGGACCACACTGGAGCAGCCCTGGCCTTGTCCCTCCCGACACCTCTGAGCCACTCTTAGGTTACTGAGGCTGAGACATCAGTGGAGGAGGCAGCCAAAGATGGGGCAGACCCTCCCGGGGTTCCAAGGCCCTTGGAGGTGAGGGGCTGCTCCACAGCCTGGGGGCTCCAGCTTCACAGTTTTGTCAGTGCAACCAGGCTCCCTTGAATATAACTCTGGTGGGTTTAACACCTCTGACAAATCCTTTGAGACCCTCCCCTTGAATACAGGTGAGCCTGAGCAATTTGCTTCAGGGAAATAGAAATGATGCCTCAGAACTTGAGACCTTAAGTTGTAAAGGTGATTCAGCAGCTGCCTGGCTCCCATCCCCCTAGCACCTTTGGAACCCTGGTCACCATGTAAACATTCGGAGAGAGAAACCAGGAGCCTTGGCTGTTCTGGTCTTTCGAGTCTTCCCATCTCAGACAGCAGGCATGAGTAGAAAGCCCTAAAGATGACCCCAGCTCCAGCTACCACCTGACTGAGAGACCCCCAAGTGAGAACCACCCATCTGAGCCCAGTCGGGCCCCAGAACCACAAATGATACTAAATAATAAACAACTACTATAGCTTTTCACCCCTAAGTTTGAAGTGACAACCAGAACCCCAAGTATACAGTTATCCACAGATGGCAATACCGATTTATGAATTTGTAATGAACACCATGACTGTGTCTGGGTACCAGAACACACCTATCAGTCCTCAGTGCATATGGTCCCCGTCTTAGTTTGTGTTCTCCCAGAAGCAGACCTTGAGACAAGGATTCTACTGAAAGCAATTTCTTAGGCAGTAACACCAGAAGGCAGTGCCAGTAGGAGTGTGGGGAAAGGCAAGGGAAGAAAGTCAGTAAAGAGTACAGAACAAGGAACGTTCTACTGTGAGCAGCTTGGAGCTCACTGCCACTGGGGACCCCTATGAGTGAGTGTAAAACATTGCTCAGAGTTGTCCCACCAGAAGGGTACTTATCTTCCAATTTGCCAACATTCATTGATTGAGGGCTGCTCATAGGAGGCCAAGAGGTGTTGATTTCCTTGTTAATGTAGTTAATTAATCTTCCCCACTTCTTTGGCATTCCAGCAGAACAGGCTGGAAGGCCAAAGAGAACCCTCAGGAGAATTGCAGGTGCTGGCAGTTGGGACCCCCAGGCTAGTTATGGCCAGAAGTTTCCTACAGACTTTGGAATCAGAGGGAGGGGGGTGGGTGACACTAAGTGAATGCAGGACCTGGTAGCTGCTGCTCAGCTGCAGGGCAGGCAGGGGTAGTGGGAGCCAACTGCACTCAGTGGCATGGGAGAAACTCACCCAGTGCACTGGGCCCCTGCACTGCCACTCCAGATCCCAGTCCAGACAATCCTGGAGGTGCAATGCATTTGTGCCCACTGCACCTTCCCTTGGTACTGGTCTCCACACAGGACTTTTCCCATGCTGCACTGCCTTCTGTGAACACATGCAAAGGGCCACACCTTGTTTTTCACACAGATCGTTTTCTGATCCTGCCTCTCTTACAGCAGGCTATTCGCAAATGGCTTCAGTCTTGCCTTTGCAGAGCACCTCTCAGGGTGAACAGTTGGACACTCGACATTCCAGTTTAACTTCCTGTGTGTTCATTCAGTCTGAATGCCTGTGAGTCTGCCCTGATCATAGGGAAAGGCCTGCAGGTTCTGCTTGGTTCTGCCTGGTAAAGGGTGCAGGCTCCTCCTTTCTTTCTCCATCTTCTCAGAAACTGTCTGAAGTCTTTTCTTCCAAGTGTCCAGAGCGGCTGAAAGGCAAGATATGTCTAGGCCAGCATTGTCAACTTCGTGCCATAAATAGAAATGTTCTGTATTTGTGCATTCCAATATGACAGCCACTAGGTACATGCGGCAATTGAGCAGTTAAAATGTGGCTAGTGTGACTGAGGAACAAAATTTTACATTTGATTTCATATTATTTGATTTAAATTTAAATGGCCTCTTTCAGTGAGTGGCCACCATCCTGGTCAGCACAGGTGTACATCATGGGTCCTTTGGACCCACTCTAGGACAGCTTCTACTTGAGGGCTTCACTCTTTCCCTGGCGCACAGCAGAGCAGGTCTCCTTTTCCCTCCTGCTTGGAGGAGTCCTCATCTGTCTTTCAGTCATCCTCATTCTTTGAGGTTTTTCTCTCTGCCCTGCCACCTCCCTCTATCTAGCCTCTGGAAGAAGAAAACAAGTGCTCTACACAACAATTACAGTTTAAAGTTTTTTCCCTACTTGGGTGTGGACTGGGGAAGGATGGGAGTGACTGTCAGAAAGAAGAGAATGAAGGAAATACCCAGAAACATTAAAAATGTCAAGATGTACCCTGCCACCCCTAGCTGCATGTTCTGGCTCAGAGGAGGAAGTCCATTCTACCTCCTTTTGAGCTGACCACAGGTTTGAGAATCTAGAATTGTACGCTTTACAATAGCGCAGAGAATTCTTATTAAAATGTACATTTCCTAGACTCCAACCTCAGGAGATCCTGATATAAACAGCTAGCGGCTTAGGGATCAGTATTTCTTGAACATCCGTTACTTTGGGCCAGTTTTGGGAGCTGCTTTAATCAAAATAATGATGCTGCACTTAGGAGCTTTTGAGTTGGCTCCACTCCATGAAATTCCCATGGACTGCTCTGCTTTTCAAATGCTTATGTCCAATTTTGCAGTTTTTCCTCTTTAATCTGACATTTACTGACACCTCTAATTTCCTGCCTCCTTATTCTCCAATACTGCTTCAAAAGAACACAAATTAGGCTTTTGAAGTTAGAGTATTGCATGTAGTAATAGTAAATAAATTCTGCCTGAAGATCTGATACTTCCATCTCTAGAGTTCCTTCAATGTTTGAACTCTGTGACATATGCTTTAGTTACCTTTCTAGGAGTTTGGACTTCGTTGCCTTGCTTCTAAAGACAGGCTTCATTCTAAAGACAGTTTGACATTGTCACACATTCTCATTTGGCAGTGATTTTCATATTTGCTTCACCACCTCTGCTTTAGCATTGCCAAATGCAAATGGTCTAGATTTTGTATAAAACAAAAACAAAACAAAACAAAGAAAAAAAGCCACCCCCTCCAGGACAGGCCTGGAAATTGTTGGCACATGATAGCATCTATCTATGGATTCTTCTGCTAGGGAATTAGAAGTCCTCCAGGCAGGCCTGTGCCCCAGGAGACTCACCCTCTAGGGCCAGCACCATGTAAAGAATAAGAGAGCTCAAAGCTTCCCATCCATGGAAAATAATTCAATTAGAAGAGTGGATTATGCATATATAGCATAAATGCAACTTATTTATAACCAAGAAAGAGAGAACCGACATTAAGTTGTAATACGGAGAAACTGAAAAATAACTCTGAATTTATATTGGGGAAAATGATGCATTCTTAAACGCCTTGCTCTGGAGATAAAAATGGCTCTTTCTTCCAGCTGTTGCTGGTGGGTGGTTGGGTGGATGGGCATCACATGGTTAATGAAATTGCTTTCAGTGGCTGCGTTAGATTCCCTTTTGCAGAACTTGCGCGTAGGTTGAACGTTCCAATCTGTTATCCACCGTTTCCTCATCTATCCCATTGCCAGGTGTCAGTCGTGGTGAGCAAGGGATTCCTGAACCAACATGATGCGGCGTGTTTGAGGTTACCCTAACTAGAAAGCCACGCGTCATCTTCCATTTCCCCGCATACTAAATGATTAAAGTTCACCTTGGACTAAGACCCCTACGGAGAGCCACGCCCCTCGCCCCGAAATCCCGGGCGCTGGCAGTCTGCAAGCTCCGATCCCCACCCCGCCTGGCTCTGCGGCCCTCTGGGAATTGTAGTTGACACCTCACCCATCTCCAGCGCCAGGGCCCGACCCGGCACTACAAGTCCCGAAAGGCCTTGCGCACCACGCCTGCGCTCCCCATCTCTGGGACAGAAGGGCGAAGGCGCTGAAGGCGCGTCGGAGCCGGGAGAGGAGATTGTGGCAGCGGGCGACATGGACAACGCGGGGAAGGAGCGAGAGGCGGTGCAGCTGATGGCGGAGGCCGAGAAGCGAGTCAAGGCCTCCCACTCCTTCCTCCGAGGGCTCTTTGGGTGAGCTCCAGACCGCGAGTGCCCTAAGGGGGGGTCTCCGTCGCGGGCCCCTTCCTTAGCCAGCCGCCCCCACGCGCGTCCAGTTGAATCCCCTCTCTCCCCTGAGACGCCCTTGGGCCCTACGCCCGTGGGCCCTCATTTCCCCTGCATCTTCCAGAGAGCTCCTAAGCCTTAGAGCCTCCCAGAGACACCCTACCAAGAACGCCACAGGGGCTCTCAGGACCCCCGCGCGCCCCCAGACCTCACCCCCGTACGTCCCCTGGAACCTCCAGGATCTCTCGGGGTCCCTCAGCCCCCACACACCTTTCAGACATCCCCGGAAGTCCCCCGAGCCCCCACGCCCCCTCCGCCCCGGCGTTATCCACGCGTTGGTTCGGCGGGGGGGTCCCACGCCTCGCCTGGAGGGGTGCAGTCGCCGCCACGGCGGGATAGATTTGTTCATTTCGCCACGGTTGAAGCCGCGTCCCTCGGAGACCCGTGTTAGTGGGAGGCGAGCCCAGGAGGAGCTGGAGGGGCGGGTCCGGGGACCCCCCGCCCCGGCGCCTGGCTGGTGCATCTGGGCGCATCTGGCTGGGCAGGTGGGTTCCCGGGAGGAGCAGACTGTCGCGGCGCCCCCATTCCAGAGATCGTGTGCCCGTTTGCCTTGCGCCAAGTGGACGTTTAATAAATGTTCGTTGGAGAACGAATACGTTTTCTCAGCAAAGTCTTTTTACTTCACCAGAGATTGATGGGTTTGCCAGTGCCTCCTGTTTGATTAAGGATAACGCAGTTCCTGTCTAAGTCGGCGTCTTTGGGGAATCCCGTTCATTTTCTGTAATTCTTAACGTGTTCTCCTAGGGAAGGTCTTAAATTCGGACCTCCCAAAAAGCAGAGCTTGAATATGTGAATGATTCAGCTGTTCAGGATTAGAGAGGCTGAAATTTCCTGGTGGTTTTTGTTGTTGTTGTTGTTTTTCTTTTTGAAAGTGGAAGATCTGCCGACAGCAAGAGCATATTTTTATTTTTGAGAAGGACCAGTACTTTATTAGAGTTTTATTTCTGTACTAAATTCAGTTTGGAATCTGCTTGTTTTGCCACCTTCATTCTTTTGATTATAATATAACACTTTACCGTTGTGAAAACATCTCCAGGAAATGCTTAGATACAGGTTTCATGTACAGTAGTACAGGATGCAAAGATGCATAAAGGTAAGGGTTCCTTTCCTCAGGAACCTCTCAAAGGGCATTTATCCTAGCTGGTTTCTAAATTTCTTGCAGGACGTAGTTCAAACACAGCAAATTCATAATAAGTTGTCCCCCTTTTACAAGTTACCCTGATATACGCTGATACTTAAGGAGTACTGCCTCATACTTGATGCTGACACCAAACAATAGCTCCTTTCTGTGATTCACAAAACATTTAAAATCTATTCAAATAAAATTTAATGTTCTAGCACCTCCTGCCTAGAGGTGATCTTAATGTCACAGCAGATTTTAAGTCAGGATGTACTTCCGTGGAAGAGAATCTATAATTGGCAGAGGAAAACATTACAGCACTTGATACTGGTCTCAGGGGAACCCTCCTTTTTGTGAAGAGGTGTTGCGTTATTGTTTTTGTGAAACTAGGCCAAGTCTTGAGCCAGTAATCCTAAAAGGATTTTGAAAAGGCTTTTGTTTATAAACAAACTTCTGTTTGTTTGCTGATTGTTGATCACCTGTTTCATTGACAGGAGGTATAGGAAGACTTTCACCTTCACTCTTTACACTTAGTTTGCACAAGTCATTGCATCCTAGGCCTGGCCTGGATATGGCAGGCCAGTTGATGTCTTAGCTCTTGGTTGGGGGGCAAGGTACTTAGCCTCTCTGTGCGTTAGTTTCATCTGCTATAAAAAGGGGTAATAATAGTATATCTCATAGTGAGGGTTCAGTGAGTTTATGCTTATAAAACATTTAGGACCATTGGAGATGGTGATTATGAAATATTAATTAGCATATTCATCAAAATTGTCAGCCATTATTTACCAAGGAAGCAGAGAGCCAGACAGATTAAGTGACTCTGCCGGAATTTCAGAGCCAAAGACCTTTAGGACTAGATCTTTGGTCTTTTAATTAAAGATTTGAAAGAGTTTTGTACCATGTTAAGTGTTATTTATCCTATGGGGAACTGTGTTATTTTCAGTGATAGTTGGCTTCAGGAAAGCTTAGGGAAGACGAGTACTCACGGTTCTGTGAGTTTTAATAGTATATAATTACTTGAAGCCAAAAACTAGGCCTAGTTTCTCTGTCAGTTACAGTAGGAAGGCCGATTCTGTATCAGTTTTAGATGTTTAGAATCTTCCATTATATCTGACATCATTTATACTTGTCCTTATCCTTCTAGGCTGGAGCACATGTTAGTCCATCCTGCCACCCTTCTTTTAATGTAGAATTTTCCCATCTACTTGTTACCCTTTCTTGACACCACAGTGTAGTCCATCTCCCCATGTCAGACTCCTGAATTAACAGAACACACATACTGACCTATCATCAGTTTCGTCCAAGCTCCATGTATTTAAGAGCTGACCAGTTAGTGCTTTAAAGGGGACAGGTGATGCTCTTTTGAAGACGTGGCAGCCATTAGAAGATGCTCAGCATTTGCAACACACTTCCCATGGACTCATTCTCATTATCCTAACTGCAGATTAAAATGTATTAGGAGCTTATTTTCTTCACCCCCTGTTTATCCACCACCCACACAGGTTTTGTGGCAATACTGTATTCTCACTACTGTTCTATTGCTGTTTCTTGTTGCTTTCAGTAAGATTAAATGAAAATATACATTGTATATTCCTGAGGAAAGGTCAGTTGTGTATTCTGTGTACAAGGCACAAGTCCCATGCTTGTCTGCAAGATGTTAGTGAGCCACGGAGGGATGCAGCCATCACAAAATACCTATTATGGGTGTTCTGCTTTTCTGCTTGACTGCCAGTTAAACAGTGGTGTGTTTTTTTAGCTGTGGTATTGAATTAAAATTTACTCTTTCTGAAGGGCTTAGCATAGTATAGCAAAACTACCACCAAAAGAGTTCTGTTTTCATTTCATTTGTTCCCAGGGATGAGCTATGGAATTTTTCAAATTTGATTGTAGAATCTTAATGAACTGCCATTAAGATCTTAAACTGGCCTGAGTGTGACAGTAAAGTAGTTTTGAATTGCTAAGGTCTCTCTTGCTATCTTCTCCTTGTTAATAGGAGGCCAGATTGGGGATAGCCTGCACAGTGCACATCAAAGAGAATGGCTGCTTAAGAATGGCAGTTGGAAGATGTTCTGCATGGCTAATGCTGTCTTCTCCTACTTTTGGATGTTGCCCAGTTGTAAAGCTTATAAAGAGCCATGAATTTGGCAGTGTCAAATTTAATGAAAGACCGTATTGCGTTATCTTGACGCAATTATGAGTCTATAATTTAGCTATTTTTGAAAATTGGGAATATTTCTTGAACATTGTAAGGCCATCAATTATTGGTATTTTTCACTCAGCTTTATTTCTCAAAGGTTGTTTTTAAATTTTGCCAAAATGTGATGAGGACATATGATAGCATTTGTAAAGCATTAGGGGCACCTGGGTGGCTCAGTCGGTTAAGCATCCAACTCTTGGTTTCCACTCAGGTCATGATCTCAGGGTGATGGGATTGAGCCCTGGGTCTGGCTCCTTGCTGAGTGTGGAACCTGCTTGAGATTTTCTTTTTCCCTCTCCCACTGTTCCCTCCCCACCCCCCACTTAAAAAAAAATTTTTTTTTTTTGGTTTTCTAGTTTTACTGCCAAGTTATAGCTTGTGTACCAAATGATAAAATCTTTCTAGATTGGCCTTTTTCTGTTTGCATTTGCAGTGTTCACCATCTGTTCTCATTCTTGTGAGCCCCATGAGGTGCACTTGTTTAGAAGAGGTAGGGAGAGGAACGCCTGGGTGGCTCAGTCGGTTAAGTGGCTGCCTTCAGGCCAGGTCATGATCCCAGGGTCCTGGGATCGAGTCCCACATCGGGGTCCTTGCTCAGCAGGGAACCTGCTTCTCCCTCTCTCCCTCTGCTTGTGCTCTCTCTGTCAAAAAAAAAAAAAAAAATCTTAGAGTAGGTAGGGAGGACCCATGGTGGTATGTGGCTCCAGAATGTAAGCTCCTGGTGAGTGTCTGTCTTAATATCATTGCTGTCACCCCGCACCTCACTCGATGTATGCCAGCCAGTAGGCACTTGGTGAATATTGGTAGAGAGAATATGTGAATGCTCCTAACATGTTGATTTTTTTCTTTTACTCTTTAGTTTTCGAGAGCAAAGGCAACAAAGTGAAAGGGAGTTCATGTCACGTTTTTCTATGTTTTACCTAAATATGTGTTTATTATAAATGTGGTAGCTACTACATATGTGAGAAAAATGCAAGGACTATGGAAAAGTTCCAGTTAAAAAGTAAAGTATTCCCTGAGTCTCCCCTCTCCTAAATCGTACTCCCCAGAAGTAATGGTTTTTAACTTCCTGTTTAATTCCTCTGATGGTTACCACTGTAATTCTAAATAATTTTGGAATACTTCTACTTCTTGACTTACTAATTTTAGACGGTATCTAATGATTCTGCTAAAAATGAATAGTTACATGGCCTTGCATTTTCTCTTACCTCCTGATTTTACTTAGTTAATTGTCAACCTCTAAATATTAACTTTTATATATGAATAACATTTAAACTATAATTCTACTTTTTTTTTTCCAATAGTTCCCTATTTCTGTGAGTTACAGAGTGGCCATGAATAGGTTGTTCAATTTGGGATATTTTTGAGATGCCAGGAAGATGGGTATAAGCCAAGGTTGTCTGTCCATCCAGCCAGGACATAGGATCATCCAAGTTCTAGGAGACTTTGCAATCTGTTCTTATGAACACTTTGTGTTCATTTGATTAGATGGTAAGATCACTAAAGCGTTTGTTCCTTCAAAGCATTTTCAGTGACTAACACTTAGGGTTCACAGTAAGGAAACATTGGAAGTAGAATTTTAGAATGCTA